GCTGGAGAATAAACAGCAAGGTTTAAATTTGATGTCTCCATTTTCTATCCTTTTAGGTTTCCCTCATGTGATGTCCATTGTAGATCTGCGGGGTTGGGAAAGGACACAGACTGTTTAAGAAGTTACCATTCAAATGTAAAACAAAAGAAAGAAAGAAAAGAAAGAAAAGGAACAAAAGAAGGAAAGAAAAAATCAGAATGACCTATTCTTCTTTTCTTTTCTTTTCTTTTCTTTTCTTTCTTTTCTTTCTTTCTTCCTCTTTTCCTTCCTTCCTCTCTCTCTCTTTCTTTCTCTTTCCCTCCCTTCCTCCCTTCCTCCCTTCCTCCCTTCCTTCCTTCATCTTTCTCCCTTTCTTCCTTTTGAAAGACTAAAAATGTCACTTGGAAATAAAGGGGGAGGCACATAGAAATGGGCTAAGAACACAATGGTTGGAGAGAGAGGAGTTGTAAAGACAGCAACCTACATGCCATATATCTCAGAGGAATAGGCTTCTGCCTACATGGGCTTCATAAAACCAGATGGTATATCTGTTCACAATATTAAAGGGCATCTAGAATTAGCTACAGTAAGTGATCGAAAGTTGTCTCAAGAGTGGGCACAGAAAGGCTGCATCTGAAGATGGCCTGTCACTCGGGAGGGTGGAGCTGTTGGGCCTTCTTGTTGACCACCTGACATTCAATATTTAAACTTTAAGTTTTAAGCTATTGAATGATTACTCTGTATTCAAGAAAATTACACGTACAAACCTCCTAAGAAGATTTTTTTCCTCGTGATGAGAACTTTTAAAATTTATTCTCTTAGCAACTTCCAAATACACAATACAGTATTATTATCTATAGTCACTATACTGTGAATTACATCCCATGACTTATCTTATAACTGGGAATTGCTGCCTCTTGACGCCATTCACTCATTTTGCCTATCCCCCAAACCCGTTCCCAAACTCGTTTTATTGCTCTGCCATTTTTGTATTGATTAATCTTTTACCATACTGCTGCTGTAGCTTGGCTTCCTGTTTCCACACTCTTTTCTCTCTGATGTATTTTCCATGCTACCTTTGATGTTACATAAAATGGAGTCAATCATGTGATTTTTTTTTCCTTAAACAACAACAACAACAACAACAACAACTCCACCGGCTTTAAAATGTTTACAGCACACAGCCCATTTATTTATTTATTTGCTTATCTATTTTTGTAGGTTACTGAAAGCCTTCAATAATATGGCCTAAATACACTTTTCCAGACTAATTTTCTTTCACCTGTCCTATACCTTTGCCCCTAGTCTTCCATATCCATCCCTTACACAGTGGCCCCCAAAGTATTATTCTCTTTAAGGACCTTTTCAGACTGTTTTTATTTGTCTTTGCCAGAAAGCCCTCTGTATCAAAATCCTACCCATCCTTTAAAAGGGCAGTTTGGATTCCACTTCGTTTCTGGTGTCTTTGCCAAAACTCTTCAGTCTACATTAGTCTCCCCCCGCCCCCATCTTCATCTCCTGTGCTTTCTTATAGCGTTTTGATAATACATCCCTAATGATGGTTATAATAATGACGGCGTCAAAAACTTCAGATGCCTTAACTCATTTAATGCTCCCAGAAACCTGATAGAGAAGGTACGATTATTGTTGTATTTATAGTGGAAGAGACACCAATATTAACTAATGTTCAGTCAATGTCTAATAGGTCTCAGCCAGTCTTCTCTCTGGATATAATTCTCATGAAGCGTCCTTGACATAAGCTCTACTATGATCACCATCATATATTTGAGGTAAACAAGGTGTCCAGAGATGTTAGACATGACTTTGCCCAAGGTCTCACTGCCAGTAACTGACAGATCAAATCCTGGAATACAAGTAGTTTGGCTCTGGAACCCATACCCTGAACCACTGTGCTAGACTGCTCTGATGAAGAAATACACTGTTTATGAAAAGTATATGCATAGATATAGGTGTATGTGCATATGTGTGCACCTATTATTTATAAATAACAATTAGAATGCGTCTAATTCTCCAGCACAGCACTATGTACATATTAGATGGTTAAATGTTAAATGAATTACGTATCTTGAGTTATCGCCGAAGTACTTGCCAACTGAAACAAAGAAAGATTGTTCAGAATGAAGAGCTACAATCGTTCAGTAAAATTCAATGTAAAATCAAGATCAAGGTTACCAAATAATAACAGAATGGGAAGGATTTACATACATATTTAACAGCATATGCATTAGGTAAGGCAACACACAGTACCATAAACCTAGAATATACAAATAACTGAGTTACCTGATTTTCCTTTGTAGTTCTTCTTGAGGAAATGTGAAACAAAAACATGTAATATTAAGCTATGAAATTTTGTAAATCCCCAAGTTTCCCTTGATGGGAGAAATTTCACAAAGAGGCTCATTGCCATGTGTGGGCATCCTGATTGTAATCCACAGACTACTCCTTCACAAGTAGACAAACTACTTCAGGTACTCATGCAGCAATCAGGGCTGAAAGTTGAACAGATTTTGGGAGAGGGCAGGATGAACTGTGAAATTGTTTTTGAGACAGCTTTGACTTCTCCAACTTAGGAAAGAATCAAGGCAACTCGTGTCTCCTCCCAGGGTCTGGGATTGTCATTCATCCAAAATGAAGATGGATAGTGGAACTCCAGATTCACCAATTTTAGGTTGATTGAGTGGCAAGACAGATGCCATTCACTTCAGTCCTGAAGCCGTGTTAGAAGCTCTTTCTAGTGTGATTGCCGCAGCTTGACAAGTACTGTAGGAATATCGTTGCCTTTGTAAAGAGTAATAAGTCATTTTTTAATGTAATAAAATAATTGGAGAAGTTCACAGGTAAGAAATAGGAGTCGAATGTGATAAGATAGGTTTTTAGCTCTGAACTATTAAGTTCCTTGACGACACTTAGCTGAGAGGTTTTGCAATTCCATCCTGTATACTCTCTTCAAAGACAAGGGCTATGGCACAGAAAGGCCTTCAAGCCCCAGCTGCCATGAGTGGGATATGCAGTCTCAATTTCTAATGCCTGTATTCCACTTTGTAAGAAAAAAATGTCTATTTTTTTCAAAGCAGCAGCCTAGAGAGAGAGGGCTTTGGTGTTTGCAGACTCTCTTCTCCTAAAAAAAACTCAGTCCAGGACCAGGACTTCAAATCAGAACAATTTTGGAAATCCCTAATGACTAATGTAACTGATTTCAGAGCAAACCTCTGCTTTGCTCCCTGCTTTCTTGATTTCCCAGCAGACAACGCTCCCTTAATGATTAGTTTAGATTAGTTGTCCCTGCCGTCATAGCCCCTCCTATATCCGTTTTATACAGGACACTGCTAACTCCTAAACTTCCTAGGTATGCCAGTTATACACGAACACAGCCTATGTAGCCCATCAGCCTTTGCTTGGCTCTAATAAATGTAAGCACATTTTTAGAAAGCATGTAATTCACCATTTGCTAGGGATTGAGGCTTGCCTCAATGGGCAGGGGAGCAAGGGTAAAAATTTTAGTTGCTATTGTCCTAAGAAATAAATAGATAAAAAGCCATTAACTAGTGGATAGTGATGGTCTTTTGTGGCCATCTCACAGGATTTCCTTTTTTTTAATGTTTATTTAATTTTGAGAGGGAGAGAGTGCAAGAGGGGGAGGGTCAGGGAGAGTGGGGGCAGAGGATCTAAAGTGAGCTCCATGCTGACAGCAGAAAGCGCTATGCAAAATCATGACCTGAGCCCAAGTCAAGGCTTAATCAACTGAGCCACCTAGGCACCCCTCACATAATTTTCCATTGATGACTGCTGTTCACTCTGACAGATTTTAAGAAACTTTGCTAGTATAATTTATTGGGTTCAATATTACAGATAATGTGAATAAACAGGGAATGTATATCTTCAAGCTTGTTAAATAGTGTCCATTTCAAATATTCTTCACTGGTTTTTTTCATATAAATAAATTCATATATTAGAAAGGTATCTTTTGTCAGACTATGTGGTCTGCCTTTTGATTTTGTAAGAATTGCTATTGTATCTGAGGAGCCTGCCTTCAAGGAGCTTTAAGTCTGGTTATTATGGTTAACAGTTCTGGATGACATTTAGCAACTTCCTGAAATGTTATGTGCAAATAGCTATGGAAATTATGAGCAGCCCAGGAGGTGATGATATTGTTGCAAAATAAGATAGCATCGAACCATATATCCAAATAGAAAGGATGGTAATACAGGGCATTCCTAGGCACCAGAATAAGCCATTTGTGTTTGTAACAGCGAACCCAAGAGATGAAAGGAGCCCAAGATTAGCATGACTGAAGGCAGATGCAGGGAGGAAGGTAAAGTTTACAATTATTTTTTTTTTTGGAGTTCAGAAAAGCCCTTAGAAACAAACCCATCACGGATCTTCTTCCCCAGAAACATTCTTCTCAGCAAAGGGGGAAAGATGAATGTTCAGAGTTTCTGGCCTACAGCCTAGAGCGTCATTCCTTGAATTTACACTCCCTTTTCTCCCTTTTGGCTGATCTTCAAACACAGCCAAAGAATGGAGGGGTTGAGGTCTTCCTTAAATATGGCCTCTCAAAAGCTGATTTTTATGTTTGTTTTTCCTATAGGACTTTGGATGTGAATGGAACACTCCAAAACTGTATTTCCAAATTCCAGACAATCTGTGCTTTCCACTGATTGTGATTTAGGACATACTGGACTTTTTTGTCTGGGTCCATTTGTTTTAAAGAATGGGGAATGTATTACTTACTTAGCCTTTTTGTAGACTATGAAGGGGAGGTTTTCCTTTTCCTTTGGTTTAAGAAATTCTTCAGGTTTAAGAAAATGGAGGGGTAAGAGAAAGTGGGGTACTGTTTAAAACCAGCTCTCAGTTGGCTTGAAGAGAGCAAAAATAGATTTAAAAAAAATTTTTTTTTACTCTTTCTTGATGAACTCCATGATTAGGTCTTTCCTCCAAGCAAATTATCCTCACTATATTCATTTTACAATAACCAAAAAAGGTAAAATCTCACGAAGGAGTCTCAGCCTTAACTTTTAATTTCCTGGTTTTTGTCAGCTTATGTCACAACATTAATTTTATTTCCACATAGGAGGGAGGGTTGCAGGTAGTTAATATTACTCTTCTGTACTCCTCTCAGAGGACAAATATCCCATCATTAACACTCAGCTGTTAAAGCACAGAACAAAAGAAAAGTGAGTCAGGGATGTAGAAAGAACTTTCCCTATTTGTCACTATACACACGAGGGTAGGGGTTGCTTTTCCACTGGAAATGTGCCATGGAGTTGGCTTATCATCAGGTGAACCTACCAGCTACACAAGGTCCCTGGCTTACAGTGATTCAGCTTAGGATTTTTCAATTTTATGATGGTACAAAATGATATGCATCCAGTAGAAACAGTATTTCCAATTTTGAATTTGGATCTTTCCCCAGGCCAGCGATATGCTCTGGAATCCTCTGTTCTGATGCTGGGCAGTGGGAGCTGCAGCGCCCAGTCAGTCACGTGACTGCAAAGGTCAACAACCACGTGACTTCAAAGGTCAACAACCGATATACTTACCACCATTTTGTACCGTACAACCATTCTGGTTTTCACTTTCAGTACAGTATCCAATAAATTACTTGCTCTGTTCGATGCTTTCCTATAAAACAGGCTTTGTGTTAGATGATTTTGCCCAGAGGTAGATTAATAGTAAGTGTTCTGAGCACATTTAAGATAGACTCGGTTAAGCTATGATGTTTGGTAGGTTAGGGGCATTTTCGACTTAGGATATTTACAACATATGATGGGTTTATCGGGATATAGTCCCATCACAAGAGGAAGAAGATCTGTAATTAGATAACATTTGAGGCAGTGCTGGGAATCTAAGTATGCAACCCTTTTTGAGACCCTGTTCCAGTTCTGGTGATACTTCTACAAGTGGGAATTTCTTGCTAATTCCTCACTTGCCCATCCTTTATTTTATATACCTAAAAATTGAGTTTGAGGGCACTTTACCAAGCTCTTCGAAGCATTTTCTTCCTCCCCTTTGTAAATTCCGAGAGGCTGGGCAAAGCCATGTGCTGGTATAGTTCAGGACCTTCAAACGTTTGTAAAATGCCTATAAATGAAAGAGAGGTGTCCTGGTATCAAGCTAAACCCTGTCTATAATCTGAGGCCTTCCAAGGAGACAAAGAAGCTCTGGCATCCCCTAATATAGTTGCAATACACATAAGATGGTGGCCCTTGAGGTAAACATAAAATAATTGTAGGTAGGGGCTTATGCAAAAAGGCTTTGTTCCTAAATACTAGAAAAGCAGTCACCCTGAAACAATGGGAAAAATTAGCATGCAGCCAGCCCAAGGCTTTTAGCTGCACGCAGGCACATGTACACCCATGTGCGTGGGCACGCGCGCGCGCGCGCGCACACACACACACACACACACACACACACACACACACTTACACATAAGCTCACAGTGATGAATGCTTGGTCCTTGCTGGGAGGTCAACACGAAGAATCTTTCTTGGGAAAGCAGCATGTCAGATTTCAGACACTTTCCCTACAAATGGGCTTTTGCTACTCGAAGAGGGGGCTTTCTGATCCAGATAATAAAGTCCGTTTACATGAAAAGATGCCGCTTTCAATGTCATGATTAATTTCGGAAATACCTGGCATCTGAATGAAGCTGAGACTTCAAGAAATGACTGATGATGAGAAAAGATAATTAGGCAAATGTCAAGAGCTTTGCTTGGTGACTGAGGGGCTGGCCGGTCTAGGTTATCGTGTACTCACTCCAAATGGAAATGAAAGGCTTTTGTGGGGAGTTGGGGATGTTCAACCTATGGTTACATATAAACTCTCTTTACCTCACATTTCTCTGGGTTTTACTCCATCGTGACCAGTGGGCAGCCGGCGCTTACCTTCAATGACTTCTTAGTGAATCCCAGACAAAGCTGTCCTTGTTTTTTATGAGGTGGAAAAATGTAAATTTATCTTGCCTTACATGTCATTTGTTCAAAAGTGACCTCTCTGTTCTGAGCCTATTCAAAAATCTCATTGACTTCTCCTCCCCTCCAAAAAGAGAAAAATGAAAAAGAAAAAAAGCCAAACACCACTTAATACTCTGCAGAAAGCACTTTGAAGACAAAGGCTGAAGTGGGTGGTAATGTAAATCTACCCCCTCACACATTGTTTCTGAACCCATTCTTCTCTTCTCTTCTTTCTTCTTTCTTTCTTTCTTTCTTTCTTTCTTTCTTTCTTTCTTTCTTAATGGTTGTTTTTCCATTGGTGAATTGGAGGATGTCAATGGCTCTGGAGATGAGTGACCTCCATGAGCTCGAGATCAAGTTGATGGAAAGCAGAGGCACCCCTAAGGGGCCAAAGGAGTATTTTTCCAAAGGAACTCCTTAGAACAAAGAGTGGTAAGAGACAGGAAGGTTCTTTTCTTACTTTTTCTGCCTGACGGTACATTGTAAGTCCTCTAAAAAGATATTCATCATAGACTGGATGTTTGTAGTTATACTGTGGTCCATGTGTGATTCGCAGCAATCCTAATTTCTTCACTTTACTCTTTCTTCTTCTGTCTGATTTGACATCTAAAGGAGGAAAGTGACTCCCTCCATGATACCATCCCCAAGCAATGGAACTCCTCCAAGAAGAGAGGAGATGGTCCAGAGAAAGATCCTAGCTAGCCATTTAGGCCTGGGCATACCAATTTAGGCTTACATCTGATATTGGTTAATGCTTGCTACAGGTTGAATCGTGTTTCCCCCTCTCCCCGCCCCCCCAACACACACAGAAGATAAGCCGAAGTCTTGACCCCTAGTACCTCAGAATGTGACTTCATTTGGAAATAGGATTGTTGCAGATGTAAATAATGAATACGAAGTCATACTGGAGTAGAGTGGGCTCTTAATTCATTATGCTCAGTGTCCTTCTAAGAAGATGATGTGAAGACAGAGGAAGAGAGGGGTGTGTGTTGCAGTTATAGTCCAAGGAATGCCAATGATAGATGGCTATCACTCAAAGCCAGGAAGAAGACTTCTTCCCCACAGAGTTCAGAGGGAGCAAGTCCCCACCGAAACTTCGCTTTAGGATTTGGGGCCTCCAGAGCTGTGAGACAATAGATTTCTGTTTTCAGACACTCCGTTTGTGACATTTTGCTCTAGCAGTCCTAGGAACCTAAAGCAGTGGTCCTATAATTTAATGTAGCAGGCCTGTAAAGAATTCTCTTTGTCCCTGACCTAAACTCTTATAGTCTTACCCCAATTTTATCATAGTGGGCAGACACAAATTTACTAAGAGACAGTATCACTTGTCACAAATAGTGAAGGGTGTATAGCTCCATATTTGCCAGAAACATAGAATCTGTCTCAAAGCCTTCGTGAACTGTAAACATACTCCCAGCTTATGTAAAACTGCTCAAGTGTCATGGCAGCCCGCCCTCCCAAATGAAATGCTGGGTCTTTACTGAAATACCATATGCAAAGTACATTAAGTACACCGTTAGATACTCATTAGCCTATAACATAAAACACCATTTAAAGCAAAACATGAAAGGAGAAACAAACCTAAGTGTCAACCTGCTTTATTTCTTTGGAGAAAATACATTAAAATATATTCATAGTAAATATGTGAGGTCTTTGACTAAATATGTTTCTAATAGTGGAATAAAGCTGGAAAGAATTGAAATTACCCATTGTGTAGAAATTTCTACTTAAAATGGGACAATTCCATCATTCAGTATAGTTTTAAAAAGCTGTTCACCCAAAATAGTAAAGTATGATTAGTACTGCATTAGAAAATAATATATATAACTTGGTATGAGCTAATTTCCTCCAAGTTTTCAACCTTGCTTTGGAAATTATATTGCTTACTGGCAGTTTGTAAAATGACAAAGTATTAACGATAAAAACAAAAAGGTTACTCTACTGTTTATAATTCATTTATATGACATAGCACAAACATATTTACTGAAGAATGCCATTTCTTTGGATTTGAGTGTTTGCTACTGTTCAAACCATCCATCCTGACAGCTAAACAATTTTAAAATATAAAGACGCTTTTTGCTGTGGGCGGGGGGTAGAAAATTGTGCAAACGGGAGAGGGTCCCACAATCCAAATACAGTATGGCTGTGTTGTTCTATTTGCTTTTAATCATCCATAATTCCTGAGATACTTAACATTTTATGTTTAAATATTAACTCAGTACAAAGCTTTCCCCCTGCTTATGCATAATTTCATCTAGAAATTAATATCTCCCACTTATAATGCATCAAAAACTAGAAACATTTTCCTTCCTTAATGGTGTAGGAATTAGTGTAATTTTAAAGCACTCAGGATATAATTATTTACATGTACTAGAAATATTAACTAGTAGAATTATCTGATCAAGGTACATGGAAAGTTAGGGAAAAGAAAAAACATTCCTTCAAGTTATAAATAGCTATGTTAAAAGTTACTTAAAAAGACATAATTAGATTATATGGACATTCCCAATTATAGAAAAATGTGTTCCTGGAATCCTTTGAAAATTAAATATGTTTCTGTATTCTCAAATAGTGTAAAAGTACTTTAAGAATATTTTCTTTATTTTCTGTTAAAGTTAGTATACATGTGTATATGGCTTTGGTATTATTAGAAGTGATAGAAGAAAAGAAATGAAGTGTTAATTTAATAAATATGTTGCCAGTTGTGCCCAAATTGAATGCAATGCATATATGTCAATTGGATGTATGTATACTTGTAATATTTTTATCACTATTATGAAGTGTGCTTAGTTTTATAAATTCATATGCTCATTGTGATGCGTGTGATGATTCACACGCTCAGCTTAAATGGAAGTTATCATTTTTCTTTTTTTGTTTATAAAGGCATGGTTTATATTTCTCTGTGATTGATTATACTCCTGAAAGGTTTTGTGATTAAGAATATAGTATATATTTTTTATTAAGTTATTTTACACACAAATGGCAGGGCCCAAGGGGTATTTGGGGTTTACAGGATTTTTCTAATATATGTGTTCCCTTCTGTATTAAAGCTGCTAATTAGTGCTTTTAAACAGCTCAACACTGAGTTGTTGGAAGCCACCATATCAGTGGCTAATATAAAACTGTTTATGTGGCAGGATATATAAAATAAGAAGGTGTTAAACCCAACACAAATTGAGTGGCAGGGGGTTCCCACCAGTGTTAATTTTATGTTTGTTTTGTCTCATTTAAAGTTAAGATGCCTGTGTTGTAATTGGGATGTGGAACATGCTGTACATACAGATGGACTGAAATGTGTCAATGTATGAGCTGCATTTGTCTGGCAAAGAAGTCAATGGGTAGTTTTATCAGGAAACAGCTATTCCTAAACACTAGTTTTTATTTTTAACAGAAGGACATATGGGTATTAAAAAATATATATGCTTAAAAGTTTTTTTTAATGTTTATTTATTTTTGAGAGAGAGACAGACAGACAGTGAGCAGGGGAGGGGCAGAGAGAGAGAGAGAGAGAGAGAGACAGAGAATTCAAAGCAGCTCCAGGCTCCGAGCTGTCAGCACAGAGCCCAACTCGGGGTTCAAATCCACGAACCGTGAGATCAAGACCTGAGCCAAAGTCGGACACCCAACCGACTGAGTCACCCAGGGGCCTCAAATATATATGGTTTTATAT